AATTAATTCATTGTGTAATTTTTAGATGTTCTACAAAAAAAAGAACTACCGTTATCTTTTTCTAAAAATGTTTTTAAATTAGTATCATATTTACTAACAAAAGTAACTAGCTCTTGGAAATTTCCGCAATTTAAAGATTTGTTAGATTTAGGTCATCGTTGTATTCTTTGAAAAATCATTGTGTATTAATTGATGGGATTCTAAATTGCTTGTATTGTACTTTTGTTGTCGTGCATTAACTGATTCAGAAGACTCTTATATTTAGTTTCGTAGATACAACTGTCACATTTGTACATTTGGATTTCTATGACATTTTTGTGTATAATCTGATGCCTGTCTAGGGCATACTTATATTTAGTTTCATAAGTACAAGTATCGCATTTGTATGTTTGGATTTTCGAAATTTTTTTGTGAACTATCTGATGCCTGTCTAGAGCATACTTATATTTAGTTGCATATGTACAAGTTTCACATTTGTACATTTGGATTTCCGAAGGGTCTTTATGTGATAACTGATGCCTTTTCAATTGAGTCTTGAGTTTAGTTTCAAAACTACAAGTGTCACATTTCCACATTTGTATTTCCGAAGGGTCTTTGTGCAATAACTGATGCCTTTTCAGATGACTCTTATGTTTAGCTTCATAACTACATGTATCACACTTGTACATTTGTATCTCCGAAGGGTCTTTGTGTTTTAACTGGTGTCTTTTCAACTGATTTTTGTGTTTGGTTTCAAAATTACAAGTATCACACTTCAACATATGTATTTCTGAAGTCTTTATGTAACAAGCGATGACTGTTCAGATTACTTTTATGTTTAGCTTCATAACTACAACCATCACACTTGTACATTTGGATTTCTGAAGGATCGCTGTGCATTAACTGATGCTTTTTCAAAAAACTCTTCTGTTTTGTTTCAAAACTACACATATCACATTCGTACTTCGTATTTCTGAAGGGTCTTTATGTGTTAACTGATGTCTCTTCAAATGACTTTTATGTTTAGTTTCATAACTACATGTATCACACGTGTACATTTGAATATCTGAAGAATCTTTATGCGCTAACTGATGCACTTTTAAATGACTCTTATGCTTAGTTGCATAAGCACACTTATCACAGTTGTACCTTTGTACTTCCCAAGACTTTTCGTGTATTAACTGATGCCTTTTCAGATTTGTTTTAAGTTTAGATTTATACATACATGTATCACACTGGAACCAATGTGTACCTAACAAAGGTTCACAATTGCTTTTAGGTATTTGGATGTTATGAACAGAAGTCAATGTTGTATAGTTTTCATCAAATTCTGTCTCACATTTAATCATACAATAACCCTTCGTTCCTTCCATGTCTTCTGAATTTTGCCCCTTTTCATTTTCAGCTGTTTCATCATATATGTCGTATGAAGAGAAATCACTAAAATAAATAATGTTCATTAATAAACATTATTAATCAATGTTTTGGGAAATTGTTTAACAATATAACTTATTTTTTCTAAATTTATAAATCAAATTGAAACAAGTTTAATCTGACTTTTTTTAAATTAGTTTTCTACAACACTATTAAGAAGCTCTAAACAAAAAAAAACAAAAATAATAAACTTGGAAACCGCAGTATAAAATTATGAAATTTCACCGATCTTCTTACCTGTCCTGAACTTCTTCCTCTACCTTTATTGCGATCTCTTCGAATTTAATATAAGGCTGGTTTTCAACACTTTTATATTCCTCCTGCGCATCTTGACTATCTTCTATTTTTACATCAATCTTTTCAGTTTTAATGTAAAATTGACCATGAACTTCTTTATATTTCTCCTGTACGCTCTGACTATCTTTTTCCAGTTTTATTTCAGTTTTAATCCAAGACCGCTTATCTGCACTTTTATATTTAACTTGTGCATCAAGGCAGTCCTTTAAAAAACCACCATGAGTGTGCAACGAATCAAAACACAGTCTGCATATAACAGGATCCTTGGTAGCATTAATGTTCTACAAAAAGCGTCAATATTAATCTCCAGTGAAATACATATTGTTTCTTTTTAAAAAACTATTGAAAAATAACTAAAATGCAAATTTTAAATACCTATACAGAAAGAATACTCTTAATAATGTAAAAATAAAAATAAGAAGTTTTCAGTTTCAATTTAATATTTTGTATTCAAGAAAATAACAACATATTTAAGAGATTTAAAAACAAATATGAATCAATATTGTAAAATCCTTATAGTTTCCGAGAAAAAAATTATTGAAGTTGTAGTATTTTCAACCTTTACATCGATGGGCTATAGCGTCATTAGCCCACGTGGCCCCAACCGATTCCGAATACTGAAATCCGATGTTAGTATTATCGTTGTTGCGAGTGTTTACATCAGTTTTTCAAGTATCAAAACTTATGTGTATAGCAACTAGGAGTTGATGGATAGTTTTAATTTATGGTGAAGCAAGACAACATTTGTGTTAACGTAGAAACTAGGTAAGACAGGCTCAAACGTGTTTACACACCCGTTTTTATTTATTTTTTCGCTGACTGGTGGGCGTTGTCCCACAAAATCGTTTACTGACCACTTATAGGACATATATTTTAAAATATACTTACAACTTGTGGTATATATGTTTCGATTATGTCGACATTCACTTCATTTAATGACACAAATTCATATGTCACCAACTTAATACATAATCGACAAATTCTCTGATTTTCCAATATATCGGTTAAATAAATATTTCCTTTGTTATTTAGGTAAACTTCTCTTAAGTCTACCGGTGGCACTTTATCGGAATTAACATAAGGAACCATAATATTCTCTGTACCCATACACGTTAATTTAAAATTAAAGGCAGCAAATAGTTTTCCGGAGCATGCTTTACACAGTACATGTTTATCTTTCTCCTTCAGGTTCTGAAACATATTAGACATCAAAGTAAGTACACCTAAAAATGATAATACCTAATTTGATTTTACCAGATTCGGCAAAACTACTTCCAGAACTTTTATTACGGCTTCTCCCATTATTTCGTAAGTATTATCGCTTATAATATTAACACACAGTCTGCATAATATTTCTTTGAGGTCTCCTGGTTGCATTTTCTTCCCTTTTCTAAATTACGAAATTCTAATTATCACATAACATAACCTTTAAACTTTCAATCCACAAAATATATAATAGATTTCAATCAATCACACGCGCGCGCAATCACAAACCCGTAGACAAAACAAATAAGAACAAATGTATATAAATTATTGCCAACGACAAAATACGACATACCGGGCCATCTATTAGTAGAGTGAAATTATGCGTTTAAGTTCGAGAAACTCTGGTAATGTAATTAATCGGCAAATTTGAAATTAATAACAATAATGAATTTATACTACAGAGATCACCTGAGATCTGTTAATCTCATTTAACTCAACAATCATTATTCAAAATAGTTGAGATTAGCTGGATTTGAAAGATAAAAAACTCTTTGTTTTGTTTGTCTACCTTCTACGGAGATACCAGATAACATTATATTATTGTTATTACTTACCTCGTCCTGGAGAATATTGAATCAACTCTCAAAATTTACGGGATTATTTGAAATGCATTTTTATTGCGTTTAATAAAGTACATCTGGATTTTTTTTACCCAATTTTACTTTTATAGTAGTTGTTATGGAATGATTACACTTGATGTAAGTGGTATAAGTGCTTTTATTGATAGTTGTAATAATTTGACAAAATAGATGTGTATTTACCATTACTCTGTAATGGACTGTAATGCACGGCCATCTGTCCATTCACGCACAAACTACACGTAAGGGCACCATGCACTTCAGTTTTTAAATAAAAAAAATCCAAATAGTAACGGCAATTATATTACAATAGTACTATCATTGCTTTAAAACTAATTTACTTTATTAAAAGCTAGAAAAAGTACATACGTAACTTGTAATATTGAAAATAGACATTAATGAATAACAAAAATAAATCTATTTATTTAAATACGCCATAAACCAACATCAAATAAATAATCACTTCTCGGAAACCACAGTCGACAGAGTGAAAATAAAGACAAAACTCTAAAATAGTGGATAAGGGAACATTAAAAATTAGAAAATAGAATAAAAGTCTGCCCCAAAAAAGAACACACTATAATATGCATCAATCTCTGTAGACTCGTGTTAAAACTAAAAGGGGCCAGTAATTAATTCTGTGTGTGCCTACTGATTTTTGTGCGATAATTGATGTGGTTTTAGTTTCTTTTTAAATCTAGTTTCATATGTACACATATCACACTTGTATAATTGGATTTCCGAATGGTTTTTGTGTGTTAACTGATGATTTAACTGGTGTCTTTCCAATTTATCTTTATGCTTGGCTTCAAAACTACACGTATCACACTTGTGCATTCGGATTTCCGAAGAATCTTTGTGCAGCAACTGATGAGTCTTCAAATTACTTTTATATTTAGTCTCATTAGTACATGTACCACACTTGTACATTTGGATTTCCAAAATATCCTTATGCATTAACTGGTGCACTTTTAGATCTAGTTTCATAACTACATGCATCACATTTGTACATGTAGATTTCCAAAGGGTTTTTGAGTGTTAACTGATGAGCTTTTAGATAGGTACCGCTCATGTTTAGTTTCTAAAGTACAAATATCACATTTGTACACCAGCATTTCTGAAAGGTCTTCATGGTTAACTGATGCCTTTTAGACGACCCGTTTAGTTTCATAACTACATGTATGGCACTTGTATATTTGAATTTCCAAAGGATCTTTATCCATTAAGTAATGCAATTACATGTATCTGTCCATCCACGCACTATAAGAGCATCACTCAATTCCAATTTTAAACTAAAGTAAACAGTAATAGCAATGATAGTACTACAATGGTATATTTGTTATTATTCAAAGAAATAATAGGGGGGTAAATAAAATCAGCATCACGCTACAATACATTTATTGACAATATATAGACACATGGTTTCAAAATAGCTTTGTAATTTAATTCACTTTATCATAAACTACAGAAACTTGTTCAGAGAAAGTATAAATATAACCTGTAATACTGAAAATAGGCGTTAATAAACAACAATAAACCTGAAATTAACTTATTCAAATACAACATAAACCAACTTCAAATAAATACAGTAATTGCTTTTAATTTGACACTTAACTAAAGAGAAAATAACTGATAGTGAGACAAATCACACTATCATGACATGCAAAGATATTCAGCCCTTAATTTAACTGTTTATCTCAAAACCTGAGGAGACGGGAAATTTGAAATAAATACTCATTAAGGGTTTGTTGTCAATTACTCACTAAATTTTTAATTTTCGGTTTAACCATTTCGAAGGAGGGTGAAAGACAGACAGTGGATGGGATGTGGCCTAAGTGCCAGGCTGAGGTCACCCCAATCCACTTCTACTAGTACTAAAGTCAGTTCTCGGAAACCACTAGATAGTCGACACAGTGAACTTAAAACACAAAACTCTAAAATAATGGAAAAGGGAATATCAAAATCACACAATAGAACATGAAGAAAATAGAATAAAAGCATGCCCTAAAAAGGAACAAACCATAAAATGGAACAACCTCTGTCGACTTGTGGTAAAACTAAAAGGTGATATCCATTAATTCTATGTAAATTCTTATTGATCTTTGTGCAATAATTGATATAGTATTAGATTCTTCTTAAATCCAGTTTTTGCAGAATCCTTGTGTGTTAATTTATGCAACTTTAGACATCTCTTACGTTTAGTTTCATAATTGCATCTGTCACACTTGTACAATGTGATTTCTGAAAGGTCTTTGTGAGTTAACTGATGATCTTTTAGATATCTCTTCTGTTTAGTTTCATAAGGACAAGCATCACATTTGTACATTTGGGTTTCTGAAGTGTTCTTGTGCAATAACTGATGTCTTTTCAATTTATCCTTATGTTTAGTTTCAAAACTACATGTATCACACTTGTACATTTGGACTTCCGAAGAATCTTTGTGCAACAGTTGATGAGTCTTCAAATTACTTTTATATTTAGTCTCATAAGTACATGTATCACACTTATACATTTGGATTTCGGAAAGGTCCTTATGCGTTAACTTATGCACTTTCAGATGACTGGTGTATTTAGAGACATAACTACATGTATCGCACTTGAACATTATTTTTGAGAAATCTTTATGTATTACGGACTGATGTTTCTTCAAAATTTCCCTATAGTCGGTTTCAAAATCGCAGGTGTTACACTTATAAGTTTCTACTTTTTCGTGCATTAACTGATGCCTTTTTAGATGACCTTCAAGCTTAGTTTTATATTTACATTTATCACATTGGTACAAATGCGATGTGCCGCTGGGTAGTTGGACATTGTGAACCACCACTGATGTGGGAAGGTTATCACTAAATCCTTGTTCTCCTATATTTTCAACAGAGCATCCATTTTTGTGTTCAACTCTTTCACTATCCAAGTTGTAGGAAGATGAATTACTGAAAAAAATTTAATTCTTTTGTTTTGAGAAATCAATACAATAAATTATAACAGGTTTAAGCAGTGAATGTTCTTTTCATTTAGAATATATTTTATTGTCAAAAAGACAAAAACATCCAAACCATACCAATTGATATTAGAATTAAAAGATATTGTCGACATTTTCTTACCTGTTCTGATCATCTTCCTCTAGCTTTATTTCAATCTCTTCGGTTTTAATATGAAACTGCTTATCGAGGTTTGCATATTTCTCCTGAGCATCCTGATCACCTTCTAGCTTTACTCCAAGTTCTTCAGTTTTAATGTAAAACTGTTTATCAACATTTACACATTTTTCCTGCGCAGCCAGATCATCCTCCAGTTTTATTTCAATCTCTTTGGATTTAATATAAACCTGATTATTGACACTTTTATATTTCTCCTTGTCATACGAACTATATTTTTCGAGTTTTATTTCAATGATTTTATTTTTCTCCTGTGCATCTCGATCATCTTGTTCCAGTGTTAGTTCTATTTCTTCAGTTTTAATGTAACACTGTTTAATGCTTTTATATATTTCCTGCGCATCAAGGCAGTTTCTTAAAAAACTGCCGTAAGTACAAAGCGAATCAAAACATGGTCCGCATATAACAGGATCCTTAGTAGCACTGAAGTTCTAGAACAGAAAAATGGAAAATGTTAATTTCTGGCTATCGTTTTTCTTTTAACTGAAGAAAAATGGTTTGTACATTGAAATATTTTTTCTTGTTACTGCAAAGTTATCATAATTTTGGAAGAGAGAATTTATTTAAAAAAGTTTTAGTTTTCACTACAAAAAATTGTGACAATCAGATAATACGCACAAAAATATGAAAATTTTTTTAATTGAGGTATCCAGTTTAAAGCATTTGTGCAAGTCGGTAACTAACATTAATTAAAAGGAAAAAAATTAATTTTAAACATTCACACTTTTCCGTTATATAACTGATGATCTTTTTTCAAAAACTTTGGGGCCACCTAGAGTCTATACGGAGCATTTTTGCATGTAGATAAATTAGCGTACATTGTCATATTTTGACCTTAAGAATCTAGGGTGGCTCACTGGTAAATGCATTTCACATACACCTGGTATAGAATCTCATTTATGAAAATCATACAAGTACATTTAAGCATACTTACAACTCGTGGTATGTACATATTAATTATGTCAACGTCTACTTCCTTTAGTGTCACAAATTCGTATGTTACCAATTGAAAGCATAATCGACAAATTCTCTGGACTTCCGATATATTAGTTAACTGAATATTTCCCTTCTCTTTTAGATAAACTTCTTTTAAATCAACCACTGACATTCTACTGGTGTTAATATAAGGAAAAATAATATTCTCAGTATTCATACACATCGACTTAAAATTAAAAGCAGCTGATAGTTTTACTGAGCACTCTTTGCACATACAATGTTTATTTGTTTTCTCCGAATTCTGAAACATATTTTTAATTAAAGAAATATTTAAATTAACAATATTATCAATAAACGTATTTAATAATTTGATCTTACCAAATTCGGCAAAACAACTTCTAAAACGTTGGCGATGACTTCCCCTTCTACCTGGCAATTAGTGTCTATGTCTTTTATAATATTTACACAAAGACTACAATATGTTTCCTTCAAATTTTCTGGTTGCATTTTTCTTTTCTCTTGAACAATTATTCTTAATTGATCTATGTAAACTGTAAATAACCTACAACAGTTAACAGAGCTCCTTCTTCTTCTTCTCCTTCTTCACGGCTTTGGCCCAGAGATATAAAATGCTTTTCAATTGACAAAAAATGTGTTTGGAAATACTTCGTCAACAATAGAAATATTCAGATTTCAGATCTTTTTCCGTTCCAATAAACTGGAACATATTATTTCTTAAGCACCACCTTTTCCAAAAAAGTTTTATACTCTGAAACTGTTCCCACATAATGTTAGTTTAGATTATTCGGAGTCATGGATTACTTCATTTGCGTTAATTTGTGTAATTGTTTTAACAAGTGAAATTTATATTTAACTTGTAATAATGAAAGCAAGTAAGATTGTTCTTCTCGGGAGTGTTCCAATTGTTTAAATTTCAAGTATTTTAAGAGTAAAACAAAACAATTTGTTTTGACAAGAATTTCGTGAATAATACCCAATAATTATGATGAATTTGTGTGTTAATAGTTTGATTAAAGCATTCACCCTACAGGGTGTGATTTATTTTTATACATAGTACCATACACGATTTTCTGTATATTCAATAGGCAAATAAAGTTCAATATATAAGTAAAAATATTTTTTTTCCTTATTTTGAATGTATTGTCAGCTTATGAACTGTCTCATACCCTGAAGAAAATAACTGCTACAGTGAAGGGGTATTGTGTCTAACTTGCTTAGATTTGCTAAAACCCTCCTAAAGGCTGCTATAAATTCACTGAAAATAATGCATTTTAAATATTTTTACTTACATTAGTTACATAAACATTGCACGTAAGGGCAAGATTTAACGGGTTCAAGTTTTTATTAAATAAAACATATTTTAGAACATGAATATTTATTTACCTTATTATTATAAATGATAGAAATATTGTAACAAGCTAAAAGGTACTATGTGTGAGTTGTAAATAAACGCAAGTCTGCTCTTGAATCATTCAAAAACAGCCCCCGTTATCTCTGTTACACTACGAGACGTGAAAAAAGTGCACTGTGCTCATAGACAATCCTCTAAATATTTAATGCTGTTCTATTAAAAAAAAATTTATATTACATGCATATGTCAGTAATACGATGTTCAATTATTTTTGCATGATTGGTATTTAAAAATTTAAATGATTTTCTCCAACTCTTATTTTTGCATTTTTTTCACATCCCGGTGTACATTTGATTTACAAAGGGTCTTTGTGTGACAACTGATGCCTTTTCAAATGATTTTTACGTTTAGTTTCATAATTACATGCATCACATCTGTACATGTGGACCTCCGAAGGCTCTTTGTGCTTTAACTGATGAGCTTTTAAATATCGCTTATGTTTAGTTTCGAAGGTACAACTATCGCATTTGTACATTTGGATTTCTGAATTATTTTTGTGCCCTAATTGATGCCTATTTAGATCACTCTTACGTTTAGTTTCAAAACTACATGTATCACATGTGAACATTTGGATTTCTGAAGCATCTTTGTGTGACAGCTGATGCATTTTCAATTGAGTTTTAAATTTAGCCTCGTAACTACACCTATCACATTTGTACATTTGTATTTCTGAAGGGTCTTTGTGCATTAACTGGTGTATTTTCACATTACTCTTACATTTGGTTTTATAACTGCATATATCACACGTATACATTGTAATTTCTGAAGGATTTTTGTGTTTTAACTGGTGCACTTTTAGGTAACTCTTATGTTTAGTTTCAAAACTACACGTTTCACACTTGTACATTTGGATTTCTGAAATATTTTTGTGAGTTAACTGATGTGCTTTCATATGACTCTTACGTTTAGCTTTATGATCACACATATCACACCTGTACATTTGGATTTCCGAAGGGTTTTTGTGTGTTAACTGGTGCACTTTTAGGTAACTCTTATGCTTAGTCTCAAAACCACATGTATCACACTTGTACATTTGGACTTCTGAAGAATCTTTGTGTATTAACTGATGCTTTTTCAGAGAACTCATAAATTTAGATTCATAACTACACATGTCACACCTGTACGTTCTCACTCCTGAGAAATCTATATGTATTATTGATTGATCACATCTGTAGAACTGCTTATCTAATGAAGGCTCACAGTTCTCACTTGTGGGTATTTGGAAGTTACAACTTTCTTTAAATTCTGACTCCCATTTAAGCATGTGTTCACTTTTTATTTCTCCTAAGCCTTCTAGAGCATGTCTCTCTTCATTTTCAACTGCTTCATTATCTAAGTGGTATGAAGACGAATCACTGGAAAAACAAAAACTATTTAAATGAGAATTAAAGACGAACAAATAGGCACAATTCAAATAAAGCTATTTATTTTGATATTGGTAAACTTCAGAATTTCCCGGCACAAAGATCCAATGATATTTAAAGAAATACTTTGTATGTTAAATCTCACCAGTACTCAAAACATGTCTTTAACATACCTAATTGATGAGAACTAATAAGTTTGAAGCCGGTTTATGTCTGGCGACTCCCTTGATGAATGATCTTAACTATCTTGTAGATATTTAGAGTGTAATTCAATGCTAGCTAGCTGGGGCACACAGCCCATAAAATAGTTAGTTAAAAAATACACAATTATTTTAAAACTTAAATTGTTTTACTTACAATTAGTAAAATATGCCTATATTAATATTAGTTAATCTTTAAGGATTATGCAAAAAATGTAATTGAGAAAAATACTTAAATACTTGAAAGTGACTAATAAAATATATGTACATTCTGTCAGAGGAGTCATCAGAATTTATTTTGTCTCCTTCAAAATCGGCTCCATTTGAAGCAATGCAGTTTTTGCAAAAACATTCCAGTCACCAAAACCCTTTTTAAACACATATTCTGGTATCGAATTCGAATCCTTCAGCGATTTTTGTTTTATGGCTTCTATCGAAACGGAACGTGTTCCATGAAATGGTAATATCAGTTTGGGAAATAGGAAAAAGTCAAAAGTAGAGTACAGTACTACATTCCATGAAAAACGAAATTTAAATTTACTTTAAGTGGAATTGTTAAATGACAGATTTTGGATACTTTTTTGATATAATGTACCTGTATGTAAAATAGCATGTTACTAAGTTATTCAAAAGCAATCTATTTTTACAAAAAAAATTATTTTCCATTACACTCTGTCAGCTTCATACACCTGGTTTAAAAAGGAAACAACGGCAACATCGTTAAGAGCGCCGATACAACTGAGTTCCGATGCTGCTCAGTGGTGGCGTAGACAAGAGTTTACATGTAGTTTAAAAAAGGAATTATAACTGAACTGAACTATTTATTTGATTAAAAAAAAATAGTCTCAGACTAGTATTCTAGGAAACAAGTACTATTACTTCTATCTTTTAAATAATCTGCACTTAAAGTAATACCCTATATGTATAATACTTAATTTTGTTTATATATGTTGATTAGAATAATTATTATTTATATAATATCAAAAAGTAGTTTCAACAAAACTGCCTACGTCGATTTTTTGTTAATTAAAAAAAACATTTTTTTTCTCAAATATTTAACAACCCTTTATCTCAAAAACGAAGCATCTCTGGACATATATTTATATGATTTATTTTTTATCGATTTATGAAGTTAAATTTATTATTAAAGTTATTTTAGTTACACCCAGTACAAGCAGCTTTGTAAATAGTATACTTAACGTTGTTATTTAGACTGAAGTGACACGACTTAGTTGCAGAGTAAGACATCGGTTATGTACTTGTAAGGTATAAATTACGGAAAAAATGACTTAATTAAATTAGCTACTATTAGGGATCTAATTAAAAAATAAGTATCTATTTCTGAAAAAAAAAAGACGAAAGAGAGAACATGTAGATATTTTTCCAAACTTTAATTTTTCAATATCATGTTAGAAAATACAATATACAAAAAAAATGAAGCAGTACAATTTTAAAATTACAAAATTCACTGATTTCTTACCCATCTTGATGTTCCTCAATCGCTTCAAATTTAAAATCGGGCTGTTGATCAGTGTTATTATATTTTTCCTGTACATCCTGACTATCTTCCAATTTTATTTCCATTTCTTCAGTTTTGATGCAAGACTGTCTATCAATGTTTTCACATTTTTTCCATACATCCTGACTATCTTCTTCCAGTTTTATTTCAATCTCTTCAGTTTTAATATAAGACTCGGCACTCTTATATTTTTCCTGTAATAAAGATAATAATAATTAATTTTAAACATAAACTAAATCAAATTTAACTTTGTCATTATTATGAATTTACTATTTAATCAGAAATAGTTGATTATAACTAAACAATTTTGTTATTGCAAAATTTGACAGCAGCCTCCTTGATGCACAACATTGAGATAAATATGCATTTTTGTAACAAATCGGATGAAAATTCTGAAATTTTAAATTTAGAAGTAATCTTCCATTTAAACTATATTTTACAGCAAAAATTTATTTTGACATAACCTCGTCCCAACCAAAGGTAAATATAAACGAAACATCAGAGCATTACATTAAATGTTAAGGATACAATTTACAAATGTCACACAGCAGTTGTGCTTATATTTATTAATATTTACTTTTCTGTATAAACCTTAATTATGTGTATGCTTATTACAAAAACTGACTATAAACGAACTTATTTAAAAAAGTGGGTAATCTTAACTTGGTCTTACCACGTTTGGTAAAACAAATTCTGGAACGTCCTTTACGAGTTCTTTTTTTACTTGGCTCTTTATGTCACTTATAATATTTAGATAAAACCTGCACGATTCCATCAGGCTTTCTGGTTGCATTTTTTCTTTGGATTAGGAATTTTAAACTAAACAACGTAAAAGTAACATTAAAGGATATTTCCATAACCTCACTTAATGTCATTCTTCCTTTATCTTCATCTTTCGCCCTTAAAAAAATATTGATACTGACAGCAAAGAGCAAAGACAAACAAATCTAGACTGCGTTATTT